AGGTGAGAGCCCAGGTTCTTACTTTCATGACCTTTCTGCCTTCCCTTGACTCTTTTACAGAGACACCTGACTCCCATGATACTTGTTGTTAAGGCAAAAGCAAATAAGATAGAACTGGGCGATGACTGAAAATAGCTAACCCACTTGAGAGTGATAAAAGCGTCTGTTGAAAATCTGGTAACCAGATCTCCTTGGTACCAGAAAAAAAAACACACACACACACAAAAACTGGTGGGTGGTGTACACGGTACAAAGAAAGGGAGTCCCTGAGTGTCAGCATCTGGCGAGGCCACGTGTAGCATAATCTGATTAGTTTTCAGTTCCACACCCACAAGCTGAAAGATAAAAACGCACACCCCTCCTCCCCGAGGAGGTAAAAATCTTCAAGCATCAACACCACATTTACTTTCTGCAAGTCAGCCTCTTCCATGGCTCAATTTACATCTTGACTTCTCCAGCAGAGCGGTGGAAGTTCAGTGATGAGAGACGAGCTCACGTCCCTTTCCAGTTACCACATCCAGCAGACTCAAGATTGCCTTGCTTTGATCTGGAAGACATTCCTTCGTTTCGTTTAAACTGAAACGATTAAGCTGGAGATGAAACCTCCTCACATCTTCTGCCATGCCTGGGATGTGATAATTGAACATGAGCTTCTACGGGCCATTTTCACATGTTCTGAGGCCGTCCCGGGCTGGCGAGCTGAAGTAGCAGCACAAGCACCGTCTGGCTGGCTGCAGTTTGCGCTGATTTTATCGCACTCCCTCAGTACTGTTTTCTGGTTCAGTTCATGTAAAATGGCCAAAAGCGGTACTGAGGTGGGTTAATGGGGATGTTTTCTGTCTCAGAAACTAATACTCAGGTTGATGTTTGGCTTGAAATAGCTGAGTAGTGGTGAGAGACCAGAATATTGCTCGTCATTTGGAAGAAAACAATGGATTTCTAGTATTTAACATGTTTTGTATTGTGACCACAGACAAATCAGAACACCTTGTATAACTTTTTTCTATGAACTCTCAATTTTTCTTGTCTCTTTCACATGTCCTTGCCTGTGCCCTGATCTATTCCAGTGGCCGCTGGGTCTCATCCTTATTCACTGCCTCATGGGACAGCCTCTATCTTTTTCACTGCATTTTGTGTCCAAGGCTGCCTGTGTCCTTAACCGTTTTATCCCTCTCCAAGCCCAATCCATTCCACAAAATAGTCTTTGTAACAGAGCAACCAGGACTAAATGCAGTGCTTCAGGCATTGGGATAGCTGCAACATTATTTTATTCTCTTCTTTATGTAACATTTATATTGCTTTTTAATGTACTGACTGCTGCAGCAGATCACAGATTCTCCCTGAGCTATCCACACTCGCTACCCTAATCTTTTTTCCTGAAATAAAATTACACCTCATGACTGAGACCAAGGAATATGGCTTTTCTTAGCACAATCCCCTGGGATCAGGAATTTCTCTGTCAACGGACACATATATCAATGAGAGATGAAAAGCAGCTTGTGGAATGAGTTTTAAACGTGTATCACATATTTCATTGCTGCTGCTTATGTGCTACTAAAAAGGCCTTTTTAGAGTGTTTTCAGCCCATACCTCATAGCTTCTCTGTACTTAATAGGATTTTCTTTTTTTTTCTTCTGCACAGGAATCAGGGCAAGAGAGTTATTTAAGTTGCCTACACTTCTTTGTGAGCACCTCCTGAATATGAAGTTTTTTGTTGAGTTTCCTGTTCACTTTCATTGTGAGCACGTCTTAGCTTTTATCAAAGCACAGTAACCCATAACGTGTGAAGCTGTAACGTAATCTCATCTCACTGGGATGTTTCACTGGGGGAGTGTGGCTCCTTCTGTGGATCTCTTTGTCACAACATGACTCCGTGTTACAACCCTAAATTTTAAATGTCCAGAAGGGGAAGGCAAGTCTGCCTTCGGCCCCTTGCTGGTTTCTGGGGACTTGCAGTTCCATTGATGCCTGGGGTCTTCCAGATGTGCATAGAGCTCTCTTTTCCATACTTTTTTTTCGGAAAAAGGGGGGAGGGGCGGGGCAGGAGGTGGGAACACCCAAACGCACATATCTCTAGATCATTTCAATTCAACCAGATGTGAGAATCTTTCTTCTTATTTTTTTCCCTCTTCTTTTTTTTTTTTTTCCTCTTTTTTTCTTCTTTTTTTCCCCCTTGCCTACACTGAAGTGCATTGCTATCCTTCTGAATTTTGTCTTTCTGTGATAGACCTAGTTCAGTATAATAAGACTACATGTATGTAATGTAAAGTCTTTTCTAGCAAAGCTATGGATGGGCAAACAGAGCTTGATGAAAACAAAGCTGGGGGTTATCGGGCACAGGTTGGTGCAGGAGAGGTGACCTATATCGCAAGTGTTCATTGAATTATCTGAAGACAGTTAAAATAGCTTGTGCACTGGTTTGTTAGTGAGTCTTTAGCAAAAAGGGCACAGTATGAGCGTAACATAGGATTTTTCTACAAAAATTCAAAATAAAATTCACTTTGGGATGGATTCATTCCCAGATAAAAGCAGCCCTGGCATGTGAAGCAGAGATCAGCTAATCATGTTTGCCTTAGTTTGAGCCCTCTTGAATTTGCTGAAATATGATTAGGAATGAGTAAAAGACAAAAATGGAGGGAAGGAGATGCCTTTAAAAAACAGAGTGGAAAATATGACTGGCAAAGGGAAAAGCAAATATAAAAACTGTGGAGGAAAAAAGATGGAAGAGGAGAAATCTCAAGAGAATACTGACTGCGTGCATGGGTGAAAGTTGTTTCTTCAGATTTAGCAGCACCGAGCTTGTACAAGTCGTAATTTAAATAGATTGAAAAGATAATACTAAAGACTACCAGGTTAGATGTTATCCGGTTAATTAAGTTGCCATTCCAGAGTTGTTACAAGCCCACCAAAAATCATTCCCCATTTAAAGTGTTTGTTACCTCCTGAGAAGAGGAGTAGCCACCCATGTCAGCTCTAACATAGAGCAGCACCTTCTCCTTAAGAAGAAAACTCCCGCCTGTCCCGTGCTTTTAGACTGAGTCATCCTGAGGAAGAAAAATGATACTTCAAAGTACAAAATAATGGGTCAGCTAATTAATTTTTTTTAATTGCTAAAGAAGTTTCTCCAGTATTAAATTCCATCTAGTTTCTTTTCATCTCCCAACCTGAATCCTTCAATTCTCTATCTAGAACCATGATTTCTCTGAATCTAATTTGGATTTAGCTGTTCAGTACTGACATCACTTTGCCTATATGTCACGTAGGCACCATGGTCCTAGTTAGATGATGTGGACCCATGTACTTCAGTACTGTGGTGAGAGGTACCATTAGAAGGCATTATTTTTAAGAGTGATAGTGTGATAGTTTAAGCTCAAGATTCAATGGCCTCATTTATGCTTTTAAGTAAATCATCCTGTGCCAGAATTGGTTCTCTGGCCATAAGACCAATGGGACAATATGACCATGCCTACAAACCTCCAGACAGATGGCTACGTCCACACTGCTGAGGGACAACATGGATTATCTCAAGCCACTGGGAATCATCTGGAAGGGTTCAAGCCCAAGCCTTACCAGAGCCCCTTCTTATTATTAAAAGCATAAAAATATCCTACTCAGTTTTTGATTGTGTCTGTGCCCTGGCACTGCTTAACAGAGATGGAGGCAGATGTGGTTCTGGGCTGCAATCAGGGGGTCTGGGCCCCAGTTTCAGCTCTGCTGGCGGCTTTTTGTGTGACCTTGGTCAATAACTTAGAGTAATATTCATTCCATTTAATGTTGACTAATGGTGAGAGTGTCTAATTAAACTAGTTATGTGTTCTCCCTCTCTGAACAGAGGAGGAAGAGAAGGCAAATTCAGAAGGTGAATCATGCCGTTTTGAGACTGGTGTCAGAGACAAATGAGATTAATTGCCCTCTGGAAGTAGCTATTTCTTTCCATTAACTGTAGAGGAAGTCTACATTAGAAGAGTTTAGACTAGATGCCTGATTTATGAATGGCTCAAGTTAAGTAACATTAGTCCTGACCTGAATCTCTATGCATGCCTGTTTCTCCATACGTTGAATGACAGAAATAACACCTTCCACCTCACATTCAAAGGTGCCATTGGGCAAGGAGTATCTTATAACTACTTTGGAAAGAAATCAAACCTAGGAGCAAAAATGCAACAATTAGAGAAGTAAAGCCTTTACTCTTGAAACATCTCAATGACAATGTGAGCACTGCCAGTTTGGGCATCCTGTTGGTTATGTTGTTTTTCCCCTTTACATTTTGAACAACTGAGCACCCATAAATGACTTTTCCCAATGTGGCCATACAGCACGAGGGCAGTTAGCCTGTTTTGGGGGAGACAAGTGGGAACACGGAGGAAAGCTGACCATGTAAAAGAGTGTAGGACTCAGTCTTGGCCAGCAGCTTTGAAGATTTTCCTTGCAATACTGCTTTTCGCAAATGACAGTGACTATTTACTTTTTGGAAAATCTCCCAGAGGTATGAAAGCTAATGACTAACTGTGACAGAGTTAAAGAAAAAAAACAAGGGGAGAAGAAAAGCTTGCATTTTCTTAGCAAAAATCCACAACATATAAATCAGGCATGGAATAATTGTGCCACTTGATAACTTCTACTTAAATATGAGTCTTGCTTTTGGAAAAAAAGTTTGCTCCATTAAATACCCAGTGTAGTTAAAGCAGAAAAAAAAAAAAAAAAAAGATAAAAAAGACCTTGTGTGGGTTATCCTCATAAGTGCTTATTTTTATCCAAATTGCAACATGTGACACATCTGTATGGGCACAGTTGTGCTCAATAAGGTTTTCACCGGCACAGCATGTCCAAAACACAAATCCCCCAACTGATGCTGCTGTGTTATTGGGAGTAGCTGAGATACCTATAAGTCCATTAAAACTAATAACAGGTCCTTAGAGGCCATTTTGGGTTTTTTTTTGGTGTGTTAAATTACTAAATCTTGTTATTAACGCTTTTATTTTATGATTTGCTGTTTCCAGGGCACAGACAGAAGCTTGATGACTCTAAACCTAGTTTGTTCTCTGAACGCCTCAGTGATTTAGGGCGCATTCCTCATCCCAGTATGAGAGTAGGGGTCCCGACCCAGAGCCCACGGCCCTCTCTGAACTCTGCACCAAGTCCTTTTAATCCACAAGGACAGAGTCAGATTACAGGTAAGAGACAGAACCATAGGTTTGACTTGCACAGGCAATGGTAGTAATTGCTTACGGATATTTGTGTCTCAACTGCAGTAAAAGGGGCTGTTACAGAGTGAGAGATGTGTTCCAAGCAAAGCTAGGTGGGAAGTGGATTTTTCTATAGTGTTTGAAGCTGAAAATGTCTTTCTTATTTTAAAATATCTTTTTTGCCATAAATCCAACATAATCCAAAATATTCAATCCGAGTAAATTGAGTAGGAATCGGTGAAGTTCTAACTGCTGCTTTGCTCTGCCTTCTCCTCTGTGTCTGCAATAGTACATATTAGCGTATAATAGAATGAACATTTTTATTCAGCCTTTTAATTTGGCACTGGTGTTGAGGGAAGCAGCCAACATCTAATGGTCTTTTTATCAGAGTAACAATACGATCTTCTTATGTGGCGGTTTCCTCCTAGCACCGGCGCTGACCACTGTTACAATAAATGAACTGGGTTACGGAGAAATCTCCAAAGGTTGTTTGTGAGGGTTGTATGCAACATTTATGATTGCATGCTGAGAGACAGATTTCATTGTGCTGAGAGAAATCATAAACTACCATGTGTCACAGATTATAAGACTGAAATAAGATGTTTAACTGCAGCTATGCCAGAAGTTTGCAACAAAACCGTAAAGCCTACAGAATAAGTTGATTTTGCCATTTTTCTAAGTTAAGTTCAGAGCTGACTGATTTTTTTAAAGGGTGTCAAAACAACCTCTACCTGATTTTGTCCATTTCAACACTCAAAACTTGTGCTGACATATTTATGTTTATCCAGGATATGAAGAGGTGTTGCCCTTGAACAGTTCACTTGCTAGAACTGTTGGAGAACTTCACCTAGATGCAAGTCTGTGAATTTACTGGACCGATTTAAAACTCAGTTTTGCTGCTATAGTTCCATCTACACCAGGAGTCCTTTGCCAATGTTATATGCCAGTATTCCTTTACCAGTAAAGCACTCCTAGTATAGACATAGTCTTTGAGTCAACCTAGGAAGATTTCTGGTTTCATGTTTCAAGTGGTTTTGACATGATACCAGCTGAAACTTAGTGGTTTTAACAAAGTGTTGTGGCTTTCTTCTTCTTTCTTTTTCTTCTTTTTTAAGTTCAACCGGTTTATTAATTTGCAGTAAGAAAGAGAAGTTAAGTGGGTTAATTTGAACCCAAAGCACTGAAACAATTGAAACGAAAAAATTGTTCCCATGAGCTGTGGCATAGTTCTCCCAGATCTAGAAGTCTAGCTTTAACTAGTGTAAAATATTCATAATATATTAAATATGTTGATAGTACCCATTACACGGTACCTGCTGCCCACCAGCTTCCCAGAGCAGATTTTTTGACCAGGCTTAGTGTTTCTTTCGTTGGACATGTGAAGTCAGGGCTCTTCTGCATATTATTTTCTGGGTAAGAATTGCCAAACTAAAGCCCAATATTTTTTTCTAACCTGCTGTCTTCTGTCTGTCAGTGTTTCAGGACATAATTCCTGAGAAAGCAGGGGAAAAATTCAGGGCTATAATCAGCTTTTTTCCTTCTTCTTTGTGCCTCCATAGTTTACCTATTGTGCAACACTATATCTAGGAACGAAGGAGGATGGAATTCTTCCTGACCCCATCTGGTGATCAGCTTATGCCCTGAAGCACAAGAACTGAGATCCCCTTGTAATTTTCTTCCTAGCTAAGTGTAACCTCATATGCTGCTCTCATTCACATAAATGCCTCCTGTAGAAAATGTTCTGCTGGGTTTGATTAATAGAGTACTTCTCTGCCTCGTTATGAAACAGCAGCATTTACAGATCCGGGAGGTGAAAACTTCAGATGAGCTTTACATAAGCCTGACTGCAAACAAACCTATGTGGCATTCTCTGTCTTCTCTGCAAATTTAAGAGTCAGCAATTCAAAGTACCAGCTGAGACTTCATGGAGAGAGGGAAGATGCGGTGCTGGTAGGGCAGAGGGAGGTGAGCTGAACTGAGGAAGGCAGGCTGACTTTCCCATCTATCATGGATTATGTGCTTTTCTTGCCAGATAAACTCACAGTCGTGGGATACTTTAGCATCTCAAATTGCTCCAATTTCCCCCCAAACAGCGAGGACTCAGCTGCTTCTTAAACTTTGCAGTGAATAAGTGGTCTGATACAGTCTTTGCCATGTTATTCCCTACCCTTTCCTCCTCCTCAGTTTAGAAAAGCCAGATACTCAGCCCTCAAAGGCTACTCGTTAGCTTTCTGGTAGCCCTCCCATTTAATAAGGCGATTAGCATGAGCATGTTACATCGATGCGAGCTCTGTGATTTGCTCTGACCTCCCCACAAGGCATTTTGGTGCTCTTCAGGACGGTGATTGTAATCTGTAAAGCTCTACAAGCTTTGATGTTCCACCAAAGTGCTGGTATGCTTTTTGCGGACAGTCCCTCCGAGTTCTTCTGGGACGAACGGGCACTCATTGCCACGCAAACCATGCCAACGAGAGATAAAGTGGATGCTGCAGACGAGGCACCTCTTTGATCGGTGTTAGGTGACCATGGAAAATTACTAAACGTCCACCTGTTTGGTGTGGTAGTAGGGAGTGAGCTGTTTGAGCTGTCCATCTCCACCAGTTTCCTTGTTGTGGTGCGATATTCAGTGGGAATTGCCCACTGACTTTTTAACATGGTCACTGGGCTGGTATGGCTTCGGTATGTATTAAAAGGAAAATAGAACCTTGTCTGAAAAACAAGGATTTTTTTAATGCCTTTATTGGAATTAACCAAACATTCCTTTAGAAATACTTTTGTTTCTTCATCTTTTTACCTAGCAATTTAGGGAAAATAATTAATTCCTAATAACTTTAACAGTAAATACTGGTTTCCTAAGACAAAATCCATACTATTGCTAGTAAGCACATAAACTGTTTTTGTTTCGTTCAGGTCTTGCACAGCTATTGCTTGATTAAACAGAAATAATATTTAAAGCCTGACTGGCCCACACCTGAGTCTGAAAGAACTCAGCACTTTGGGGTTCACTCTTATATTTCTTTTCTCTGTCTGGGTTGTGTTTATTTTCCTAGAATATCAGAGTACAAGTTTTACAAATCATGGCACAGTCCTAAACCTACCACAGGAGCAGGCTGTGGCAGTATGAGGCACAGAGTTGCCCTTATTCAACATGGCATTTTAACTAGGATTCTGCAAAAGCAACATCGAAGGGTCATTAAAAAACAAATCGTTCAATAAGCAGATGTCTTTGCTGAGGCAATGCAGACCCAATTTGAACCCTGCTTGCTGCCTGTAAATCAGGAATCCTGTCTGTTCACATTTGGATACCAGTATATTTGCTTTTTTATTTTTTTTCCCTTTCCTTAACGGCACTCGCACAACTCGCTCACGGATCCAATTACGTTCTCATTCAGACACAGAGCTGTTGCATCAGTGGTTCAGTATGAAAGGAGGAAAGCTGTTGTTTTTCTAAAATGCAACTGGTAAGGATTAGCTTCTATCAGCTGGGAAAAGCCACGGGTGTAACAGCAGGAATGTGGTCAGTGCGAGGACCCCGGTGACAGCGCTGCAGGGACCACGAAGTGTGAGTTAAGTGAGGTTTCATGCTCCATCACCACTGTGGCACCATCTGATCTATAGGCAACCTGTGACTTTCATCACTGAAATAACAGCGCTCAAAAGCAGGTCCTGTGAAATCTTTTTCTTTTTTTTCGTTTTCCTCTTCCTCACATGCTTCAACAATGTTATGCTTTAGTTTCTCCTCGTTTTTAGGGTTGTAGGAAGCAGATTCAAAGGCTTCAGAGGTGCCTTACCTGAAAGTTAGAAGGGGAACCCATCTTCACTGGCAGGCAGGGACTGGTGTCAGGGGCAGTGTAAACTGAGGCTGATGGGGAGCCCATGGGCAGAAAACACCTTTGGCTCTCAGATGGAGGATGAGTATGGTACCAGCTGTGCCCTCCTTAATTCCCCCGTTCAGGACTTGCAGGCAATGCACTGGATGCTGCCCTGCCAGGGTCTGGCTGTGTTTTACCTGAAACCAGCAGCACTCTGAAGCATGAACCAGTTTGTAGCTGATGCACATCAGTCTGAGGGCGCATCAGGCAAAGTATATGGCCGCCTGAAACAGATAATTTAGAAATAGCCCGAGAAATAGGCTTATGGAGTGAATTATGCCTCCAGATCACTGTAACGTGGAATAAAAGCTACAAGACTCAGTGGATGAGGTGGTGGTGTTGGGATTTCTGCTGCCAGGAGCACAAGGGTGGCTGCAGTCTGCTGTATATATACAAACCGATCTCATTGTCCAGATGACTGATGAGTTGACATTGTGAACCTCCATTTGGTAAAGCTTGTGACCCTCCTATTAAAGCATTCTTTTAGCTTCCCCCCTCTTTACAATTTAGTTGCGTTTCTGGCATGACTTGCTCAGTTTTGGTGGTGGTTTTCTTTTCTTTTAGAAATGTGAGTCTCGAGGGGTGAGAGGAGAAATGGTCTTAGAGGTTCTTCGTGCCAAAATCTGGTCTCAATTATGCTTGTGTCCATGGAGGTGTAACTGTTGGATTTGACTTCATTGATCACATCTTTAAAGATGCCTAAGAAATAGTCAAAGAAGAGAAGGAGGTTGCATTTTTGTTGTTGTTGTTTTGCTGGGGCGGGGTGGTGTTACAACAATAGTTGGGTTACTCATGCAGAAAGTCATCTTGGCTTCATTAAGATCAGAAGCGAGGATATTTGCTTTAAGTGTTTACCAAAGATAGCTCCAGACAGCTTGTTTTTTAGTGTCGGCAGTAGCACTAATACAATCAGCAGCAGCCAGTGTTGGAGCTGGAGGCTGGATTTAAATGAGTGGTTTTACAAAGAGTCTGCACGCATGTGACTTTGGGGTGTTATGGGCAGCACGCTGAGGAGCTTTGGGCCTGTGATCATGCTCTGATCATGTAACTCATTTTGGGAAATGGGAAATTGTTTTTTTTTTTTTATAGAAAATCTGTGTGCTTCATAATCCAGTGCCAATGCAGTGGAAAAGCTCGTTCTTTAGGGCTTTTTATGGGTTTTTTCTTCTCTCCATTGACACTTCATAATATTTCCATTGAAGGAAGAGAAGTCACATTTCTGGAGAGCCAATGTCAGCAGTGGTAGAGCAGGTCACTGGGTTGTTTTTTTTTTTTTGGTTCTTTCTTTTCTTTTTGAGTTTTATACAGTGCATCTGATCTTAGACTGATTTTTAAAGCTGCTTGTTGTCCACTAAGCATCAATGTCCATTGTCCATTGATGCAGGCAGTCACAGACCACACATATATCCTACTGACTGTAAATGTGGCAGTACAACCTGGATACAAAATAATTTGCAATACTCAATATTTCCTGCTTCAGCGAGGTTTGCCTGGAAGTGCAAACAGGATGGAGCTGTTTGTGCATTAGTTTAGATCTCACCCCACTGACTTGTTTCAGCTCAGCTGTGCCCAGGGTTTCTTAGCATATGCACGATATGCCGCATTGTGAACGAATATGCTGAAAGCTGCACTTCTTCACACCCACGCAGGTGTAACAGAAGTGTTTACAAAAGGAGGGCTGCTCTTAGGAATCACTCCAAAATTTTCAAGTGCAAATGCCAACTCAAAGTGGCCTTCTGCCTCCTTTGCTGTAGTTGAACACTCTGCTAGCCCTTCCACATGGTTGCTGTATGGGAAGATGGGAGGCTTTCTCCCAAGCTGTAACTATGTTTTTCTGTTAGTGTAGTGTTTTTCCTTGTTTTGGAGGGATTCCTTTAGGGAGGAATCCACATTCACTCTGCATCAGAGCTCTAAAGTTTCTCATCTGTTCTGGGTTTTTCACAATTGGGAAGATGTGCTGTGCCTGCAGAGCACATGGTGGGTAGCGGCGCAAAGACCCTGGCTCGCAGGGACCCAGCGGACATGTGTGAGCCTGCCAGCCAGAGCGCATGAGGAAGCTGGTCTCTGGTGTAGGAGGCCAATGAAAACCTCTCACAAATCCCCTGAAAGCTGCTTCTCTGCTGGTACGTGCTAAATAGCCACTCCACTCCTTCTGGGACATCTTTCTGTTTCCCACAGAAGCATCTGCATGGATCTGCCCTGGAAGTGCTTCTGGCAGCTGGCACCTTCCCTTGTTGGCCCCAGCACCCTCCTTCCTCCCAGGAGGTTTGGTTTGGTGGCATGTGGGACCTGAAGAGATGGGCTGGTTGAGCCTCAGTTGCCAAAGTCTCTGCTCCAGCAGTGTTGCAAGGAACATCTGCTGGTAGGTCCAAAGGGTGCCATGTGAGACTCAGCTGCACATCCACCTTCGAAGAACTTATGGGGCAGCTTTGGATTCTGCCTCGCGACATTCGACTCTGGGGATTGGGCAATGCTGCTGAGCAGTAACGTTTACCCTGCGGGCTAGCAGATCACCTTTGACAAGGCGAGGGTGTTTCACTGCTCTCTTCTCTCGTGTCCATGCAAACCTTGACTGCTATCAGTCAGCAGAGGCTGGTTTTAGGGCATTTACTCTGGGATCTGGTGAAACTTGTATCTTTACTTTCCAGTTTCCTAACGGGCCAAAGATAACTCTTGAAGCCAGTCAGCCCCAGGGCAAAATTCCCTACCCTGCCTGACTATGACCTCACCCATGCCTTGGTGTGGTGGAATCACAGTAACCCTCCAGCCTGGTGTATTGTGTCCTTCTCCTCAGTCATTGAGCTCTGATGCGTCATCTGATGGTCGATTTGGTTGAGGGTTTTCCTCTTTATTATTTCCTATTCCCTGAGAAGACATGATCTCATTTCCCTGAAGCTAACTTCCTTACAATCTAGTTTCAGAGGGACTGAAGTTTGCACCTGAATATCTGGGTTGAAAGATTCCATCCAAGAAAAGCACCCAATTTTGTGAGTGAAGTACTCAAAGAATGCCCGCACCTTAAAGAGGTGACCAACTATATGTGCAATATATCATTATTGTCCTTAACTTTAGGGAGAATTGCATCAAATGGAGATTGGGTGAGTTGCCCAAGTCCAACACAAGATCTGCTTCAGGGCCATAAGCAGTTAAGTCTCAGCACAGTGTCTTCACTAACAGTCCATCCTCTTTTTTCTCTTTTTCTAAAATACTTTGCAGTTTAAAATCTCCCAGTATAGGACTCCAGAAGAACTGAAATCAAATATATATATCTAAAAAAGAAATGCGGTCTTGCAGCTCTGAGGTTGAAATGAGCTGTAGAAGCCATGTATAAATTTAAGCTAGATGTTGTAAGAATATATGATATGTTTTTGGGTCAACTGATGGTCCATCCAGCTCTGTATTCTGCCTTTGACAGTGCAGCGTGAGATATTGTTTTGAAAGACCACATGAGCCTTTGAAAGACCACTTTTTTTGCCATTCGTCCTTCTTGTGTGCACACAGGCATTCACAGTTGTTGGATTAAGGATTTTAGGTGTAAACCCAAGTCCAGCATGGGTGTTCAAAGTGGTGAGGGTGCCAAAGATGCTCAAGATCTTCTCATGCCATGAGAATTACACTACCAGAAGCGGCATGAACCTCCAGAAGGCAGCTCCTTTCCTGAGGTTTTCACCATCTTAGACCAAAATCCTGTAAAAACATCCTCTACCGTGATTTCTTTTTTTTTTCAGCCTTTACCTGCTATGTAATTTCCTTCCAGCATTGGAGCTGACCTAAAATCAAAACTTTACGGGACTCTGTTTTAGATTCGGAAGCAGAGATTGAAAAGCTCTTGGAGTTTGAAGGAGCTTGGATTTGAGATTGTGCTCCTGACACATCATTAATTTTAAGATTGTTTTCCCAGCAAGCCTAGGCTTTCCGTTCCCAGTTGAAGATCATTTACCATCGACTGAATGGTGAATTATAGTAGTGGAATGAGGCGGAGAAATATGTCGATATCAGATATAACAACGAGCAGTCAGTCAGATTTGAACCTGCGCCAATCTATACAACCCTAGCCTTGAAATTGTTAAAACAAAGAAGTTCATTACATTTAATGATCAAGTGTCCTTTGGATTTCTGAGGAGTTTATATTAACCATTTATATTACTCGGCTCTAATATAAATAGCAAACTCCAGAAAAATCCTCTTAAAATTAAATTGGAAAGTTGGGGTGTTTTTTTATATATATCTATATAGTTATTTTGCTTCAAGGAAGTATCTGCTTTCCAGACATCTCTTCAAACAAATCGTGTCTGAACAGAAAAAATAAACAAGGAATAGCCAAAACGACAAGGTTTTGCTGTGTGGAAGAGCAGGGAGAGGAGTTAAAAAAAAGAAAAAAAAAGTTGAATTTCCTGAAAAAGTGCCTTTGCTCATGCCATGTGGCTATCACATTGCTGTCTACAAAGTAGGGCCTTAGCACAGTGCTCTGACACAGCAGGTTCTCCAAATTGAGTGGACCTGATATACTTCACTGAAAATATTGGGGCAGATTTGAAAGAATGTGCTACAAATTCTATGAGGCGGTTCAGAGACAGTTTTCTGTTTATCATGCAGTGCCCAAAGCAAACCTTGGAGTTAAAAGTGCTTTGTTTTTATCAAGGTAAAGAAATAAAAATAATAATTTATGAGGCATTCAGTGCTATCTTTATCACCAGATATTAACGGAGGAAATGGTTTGTAAATCCAAACAGCAGTGAGTAAAACTAGGTCTGCCTCTCTCTCACTCAGTACAATCCACCAGTGCTTCAGCAAAAAATAAACTGTATTTATCCTTAAAATCATTTGCTCCATAGTGAGCTGTAGTAAGTACATCAAAAGGCATCATTAACTTCCGGTGGTTATGCCAAACCATTTGGTTTCATATTGTTGTAATTGAGGAGACTGTAGGTAATTGGGCCAGCATCCAAATGTGACATTTTTGGACGGATGCTGATAAGATTAATGACATTTTCCTTCTTGGATAGTATTTTCAGCTCTGAAAACATGACTGTGTAATGTTTGAACTGGATAACAACTTGACAGGCATGCCAAGTGCTGACTGTAGAGTCTCCCCACCTCTGAAGTCCACTTCCTAAGCTCAGACCTGGGTCTCGTACTTGCTGTCTGCTTATCTGTCTGAATCCTGGAGGACTGGCGAGTCCTGCTATAACATGCTGCTAGACCTGGCTGAGAGACACCAGGAATTTGCAGCACAGCTGCTAGATCTTTTAAAACTCTGCTCACTGCTCTGTTCATTTCTCAAAAATTGTTACGGGGAGGGAAAAGCACAGAGTGAGACTTGAAGGGGTTGAGTCCTAGAGGAGCCGGTCATGTTTCATTGCATTCTCATTCCTTGTAGCCCTGATGTGTGTATGTTCAATAATCCCACCTGTTTCAATTAGGCTGTTGATGCTCTAAAATTTTTCTTCCCTTTTAAAAAATTTACTCTTCTTGCTTTTTTCCCTAGATCCCAGGCAGGCGCAGTCATCCCCACCATGGTCCTATGACCAGTCTTACCCATCCTACTTGAGCCAGATGACTTCACCGTCCATTCACTCCACAACCCCCCTGTCCTCCACTCGAGGCACAGGACTTCCAGCCATCACCGATGTGCCCAGACGCCTCTCAGGTAAAGACTGTGTTTTGCTTAAAACAATTATGCAGATAGGAACAGGACTGGCAGAGGCCACCTCTGTGGCCTCAGACAAACCTTAACAGGAGCAAAGCTCTGCCGGTGATAACAGGGTTACTGCATGGTGGGCGGGGGTCAAAGTCCCTTTTTTTCCAAAGTGGAAGAGCTGCTGTGTTGCTCTGAGCATGTATCATTTGAATGTCTCTAGGTCCATTTCAGATCAGGCTGTTTTTCAATTGTGAACTTGATTCTATGAACAAATTCTCTTTTTTTTTTTGTCCTACAAGAGGATGTTTACTTGCATGTTTTAAAATAATTGTGATACTCTCTGTTTTTTGGTGGTGAGTGTGATGTTAGGCATCCTGACAGATAGATGCCTTTATTTCTTCAATAGTTATGGCTAAGGTTCATTCTCCCGCATTTCAATCCAGTAGCTCGAGAATGCCTATTTCCTTAGTTAATGTGTACTTAAGATGCCTATCAGAAACTAGCTGAGTCACTTTAGGGTAAAGATTGGACAAATTGTACTTTGGAATGATCCGGGAGAGAGGAAATACATTTAGGAACATAAGACAAGACAGCAGTGAGCAACTGAGACTTTTTTTTTTAAATCAAACAAGTGTACATTTACATACTATGCAATTCATCTTTAATGGTCTCAGTGATAAAACCATCTGTGTGAAGTAATCTGATTGCCCCAAAGTAAGAGAGAGCCTGTCATGGCACACAGTCACCTTGTATATCTTGCCAAAAATGAGGAACCTTAGGGTAGGGAGGCTCAGTATTAAAACTCCAGCCTTGCAAGTGTGGAAATATTAGCAGCGTATGCCAAAAAAGCATGTGTAATGTAAAGAAAGCCTTTATGATTCATTAATGAAAACCAAAGAATCAGTCTTATTACATCTATTTTTTGCATGTTTGCAAGATATTATTATAATCTTGGATGCTGCTGCCATACACCTGTTTGACTCGTAGCCAGGTGAATTTCTTGCTGTCGTGTTTTCCCCTTCCACCAAGCTCATGGCGCTGGTAATGTTGATCACTCCACTGAGCTGCATCACTGACAAGCTGAACTTCAGCCAGCAGACATGTAGGATTTGATTAGCGTAGACTCCTTGATTACTTTCATCTTGGAGGAGGGAAACTTTGTTTCTCAAACAAACAGCTTCAAAAACCTCCGCGGTCCTAGTGTGCTCTGCCTTCGCAGAGAGGCCGAACGTCTCCATGTGGGCCGAGGGTTGGAGGGTAGTGGAGCAGGTTCCTGCGGGCTCTCCGGGCAATGCGCTGACTTAGTTCAAAAACCTTGACGGGCTTGATGCTGAGGAAATGCTTTGTTTGGCCCGAAACAGGTTCCCTTTGAGTCGGAGCCTCCTGACGGTCTGTGTTGTCGAATGGGTTATTTTTGCAATTGTGCCCCCGGCAATACCTCTGGGAGAGGCTCGGCTGGGACCTCGGCAGCTGTACCGCCGAGTAGATGCCCTGCAGCCCTTGCTTGTCTGTGTGTACTCAGACGTGAGTGCCTGGCATGTGAGCACAGGCAGAATGACTAAAAGACCTGGCTGTGTACATTACGTGGCCGCGGACTGAACTTTTCTGCTGTACTCCACAGTCGGTTGCCTTCACGCTTCTTGCCCTTCATCTTTTGGGGGCTCGACGAACACCTCTGCAATGCTCTTACCTTTTCCCAGCATGAGAATCTTGCTTCCAGTTAGATTCAAGACTGAAAAAGGGGACTTTGATCTTCCACAAGTGCCAGAGGTTGTCTGCAGTGTTTGCTGACGTTCAGAAATACAGAACAGTGTTCCTGGGTGGAGGACAAGCTCTGATGCTCAGGCTGCAAAGAGGCATGTTGCAGCTCCAGCTACAAACCCTGCAGTTCCTCTCAAGGGTTTGTTCCTAACAGTGCTGCACTCCGTGTGTATAAAGTAGAGAGAGAAACACGAGTTTAAAACTGCCCAATACAGCAACCAGTTTATCCCTCGCACACGGAGAAATGTGAATCTCCGCTCTCCACTCAGTTACTTGATACATCATTCAGAGGAGAACAGAGCTTTGATGGGGGGGGAGAAATGGCTACTAAGAAACACTAAAAACATTAGAAAACTTTAGGCACCTCCCGTGCATGAGGGAGAAATTAGAGTTTTACAAGGCCTTGAATAAAACCAAACTTTCCTTCCCAATACAGTGGCAGAAACCTGATGATCAAGGCTGTTAAAAGTATACAAGGTAATTTTAATGAATGCCATATTTACTGCCTGTTGCTTAACATCGTGCAGGAGGAAAACTGGGTAAAACTTCCCCCTTAGGCCTTGGATGTCACACCTACAGGCACAGGACTTCCTACCTGCCACAATTTCACTTTTCACAGGCGTCCATGGCTCTGCCTACACCACTGCTTAAGTTGTGCTCACCCAGACGTTGAAAATCTACCATCTAATAAAGCAATGTGTCTTTCAAAAGAGTAGTTTCTGGTTGTATTGCCAGTGGCAGCCCTCAAGAGATATTTTTGATGGTACTCCCATGACCAGAAACACATCCATGGCCAAAACGATGGTGCTCCTCCCCATCCTGAATGAGGATGCATATGCTTCCATCACAGATTAGACTGACCATCAGAAGAGGTTTGGAGCTGTAGGAAAGGAGGTGATGAGGGACTGCCACAGCAGTTCATGCAGCTGTCTGTCCCATGGGAGAGGGGATAAGGGCAGCAGGCTGCAACCCTGAGGAGTTATTGGGGCAGGCTGGTGTAATGTGGCTGAACTGGTTGTGTCAGTGTCTAGACTGATTTTTTTGCACAACTCAAACGTTTGCATGCATGCTGCAGGCACGTGCAAATGAGTGTCCACGGCTGTCAAACTTCAAGTAGTCATCTTGTATTCTCCAAGTGGGGACCGGTGCTGTATTTGCAGTGTTGTACCAACTAATTAATGATGTGTCACACATATTTGGGCAGTATTCAGCAGCAATAGCTGAAAAGCAAAGCAAAAAAAGAGATTATCTGGCATCACTCATACAACTTTTGAACGAGTGATCTCTCTGGTGCATAAGTCTCATCTTCATATCAAGAATAAACAGATAGCTCACAAGGCTATGTGATTGATTTATTTTGTTGCACCAACTCAGTCATAAAAAGAGCAGGATTCCCCATATTTTATTAAAATATCTGTCTCCTCTGACTTCCCCAGAAGTCAGTGAAAGTTGGTGGTCTAGCAGATTAATATTCTTAATTAAATAATATTGTAGTGGAAACCATGGGAATATATGAACATGGTCATTTTAGAGAGAGTTTTGCCTGAGGGATGTAGTCTTATTGCATGATTCATAGTGAATGCACTCAATCTTAGTGTCCTATGCATAACCAAAGTGCATATTGGGGAGCATGGGTGTCTATTATGTAATTAATGTATATGATTCATATAAATACACATCACAGCCGTTTTACATAAAGTTTTGGGACTGATCCAGCAACACCTAAGCACATGCAAGGTTCACAACAGGGAGTACAGATTGGCTTCTTCCTGCAGTCACAAGAGGGCTGCTCTGCAGCAGGTGAAGGAGGTATGGATATAGATGTCCTCAGGGTAGACATCCATATCTGAGACAGTCACTCCCAGCTCTCTTTTGAGTCAGTGGGGACAAACTGGCATTTGCAGGACTTGATCAGTCTGCGGATGAGCTGTACTGATCCCTGGCTGTGCCTTGGAAGAGTCTGTTTGTCTCCACAGGCTCTGTAGTGAGCCTAGGTGAGTAGGTCAGGTACAGGCATGTCTGATCTGATAGTCTGCCTTTTATGAGGTGATTTAAGAGATGATTTAGCTGTCCCATAAACATATCCATAGCATAGACTTGTTACACTTCAGTCCTGGTTTAACCCTGCTGTGATCTGCCTCACCGTGTGCTGGGTTTGTGTGAAGGGGTTCTGGTGGCGGGACAGGGTAAGGCATAGGGCGTTTACTACCATCCATGAGTTGGTGTAGAGATAGAGCACTGGCTACTTTTCTTGTTCAGCACTCTGACCTCTACCTGCTTTTCCTGGACCTACCCGTCCTTCTGCCTAAATGCTAGTCTCTTGCATTTTGCTTCACCTTTGAGAGAGACTTACAGAGTCAAGGTCATAAGATGCTGGAGGACCAGCTCTGCAAGTATAACATGAATGCAGGCAGTGCCAGCTATGGAAAAGCCTGTCCTACGCGACTGTGCTTCACAAAAGCCCATATTGTCGAGTCCTAGAATCATAGAATGGTTTGGGTTAGAAGGGACCTTTAAAGGTCATCTAGTCCAACCCACCTGCAGTGAGCAAGGACACCTTCAACTAGATGAGATTGCTCAGAGCCTCGTCCAACCTGATCTTGAATGTTTCTGGGACTGGAGCATCTACCACCTCTCTGGGCCATCTGTATTTCACCATCCTAATTGTAAACAATTTCTTCCTTATATCTAGTCTAAATCTACCCACCTTCTTTTAGTTTAAAACCATTACCCCTTGTCCTATCACAACAGGTCCTTCTAAAATGTTTGTCCCCATCTTTCTTATAAGCCCGCTTTTAGGTACTGAAAGGCTGCAAAAAGGTCTCTTCAGAGCCTTTCTTCTCTAGGTTGAACAATCCCAACTCTCTCAGACTTTCTTCATAGGAGAGGTGCTCCATCACTCTGATCATTTTTGTGGCCTCCTCTGGACCCGCTCCAACAAGTCCATGTCTTTCCTGTGCTGAGAACTCCAGAACTGAATGCAGCACTGCAGGTGGGAGTCTCACCAGAGTGGAGTAGTGGAGCAGAATCTACTCCCTTAACCTGCTGGCCATGCTGCTTTTTATGCAGCCCTGGATGTGGTTGGCTTTCTGGGCTGTGAGTGCACATTACCAGGTCACGTCCATCTTTTCATCTACCAGTACCCCCAAGTCGTTCTTGGCAGGGCTGCTCTCAATCCGTTCTCTGCCCAGCCTGTATTGATACTGGGGGTTGCCCTGGCCCAGGTGCAGGACGTTGCACTTGGCTTT